GCGACATATTCGTTGAATAATATCGACTGATATTATTGGTTAGTTTTCTTATGGTAAAAAGAAGACTACACGTGTTTCTTTTTTCGTACAAGAAAAAAAACCTACTATTTTTGTTTTTTCTGTAAGGTAAAGAAATTGTCAATATACCTTTATCTATTCATGTTAATTTCATATGTTTGAATTTATCGTTTATTGAATAACATCTGAAATAAGAATATAGATATAGAATATATTTTGTAATAGATTAAGTTGTTTTCATTGATATATATAACATAAAGAAAAAATAAATTTGATATATATGATTATCTGACAAAATTATCTTTTTTTTTTTATTCAGTTTCAGGTTCATTATTATCATCTTCATCATTATTTTCAGCAGTTGATTCTGGTTGATTTTGTTGTTTCTTTGATGTTTCTTCTTTCTTTTTTCGAATTTGTTCTTGATAATCTAAATAATAAAAAAATAAAATTTATTCGAATTATCTATTTATTCAAAATAAACCTTTTAATGCTTCTTGTAATGGTTCAACAAGCATATCAAATTGATTTGTTTGTAATGCTTTAAATATATCTTGAACTGTTACTGTTTTACGTTTAGCATTTGATGCATATTGATTAGCACTATAGAAAGAAGAAAATTTTTTATTATTAATATTAACCCTTTACCCCCCGTTGGTCACTGGAGTGACCATTTGTAGAATGATTGCAGAAACTAAAGGAAGCATTGGATTCAAAAACGATAAGAACCTTTTTTCTATCAAACTTCATGAACTATCGATTGGTAAAAAGATCATTTCTCTTCATTGCTTCGTTACTGAAATATCGGGTCTACAAAATCGAAAATTTTGAAATAAAATTTTTTCTACTCGTAGCCAAGAGAGATTTTTTGGAATTGCTGTGTGATATTAATTGATGAAGAAGTCCTCTGGCGAATTAAATATGTTTCCAACGTTTCATAAGAACTTCACGAATTACACATACAAAAGGATACAATTGAGCATGTAGCCACTATCTCGTAGATGTAGGGTAATCAAGAAAGGAGTTAATACATGTATTATAAAGCTCAACTCATGACAAGTCGAAATCGTATGTATAATGAATTACGTTTCTTCAGAGGTTATGAAACGGCTCGAAGCAAACTATGCTACAACTTGACAACACATGTAAAAAAATATGTGTATACTTTGGTTTTAAATTTTTCGCTTCACTCCTTGCCTTTTTTTCGTCACTTTAATAGTGCAACATAGATATTGCTTCGATCCACTATACGATATGGTCAAAGAAAAAAAAAGTCAAGTACTACAATGTAGTTCAAGTCACTTCCTCTACCACAGAATTATAGGATCAATCAAACCGCTCTATTCTAGAGGCAGGATTTTCGGTGGATCGGATCGCACCATTGGTATACTATGAGGGCTAGTACTCTATTAATAAAGTTATTTTGTCAGTTGCTCTTCTGGAACCACTATGGGGGGTAAAGGGTTAAAATAAAAACATACGTAGTACTAATATATAATATAAATGTTAATGCAGCACGTGACATAGCTATTCGAGCTTCTTTTGAAATAGTTGTTGAACCATCTAACTAAAAGATAAAAAAGAAATAAGAGTAAATTACAAATTAAATTTTTTACAGCTTCATTCATCAATCGAGCAATAACTGCATTTGGAAATGATAAATCATCAATTTCATCTGACATGATTATCTTAAAAAAAAAGAGATATATTTATCACATTTTATATCAACTATAGTTGAAATTAAAAAAAAAACAAAATATTAAACTATATCCGTTTTATTTTCATCTGAATCTAAATTAAAGAAAATAAAATTAAAATATATATATAATAAAATAAATAAATCTACCTGATTTATTTTTAATAACCCAACCTTTACGTTCAGGAATATTTTTTTTTAATGCTTGTTCCCAATCTTTTGTTGTTATATATGTAAGTAAAATATCAAATACTAAAATTAGAAGAAAAACTTTTTCTTTTACATCATACGGTATAAAAATAGAGCATTCTTAGCGTAGAGATCCGCAAAATGGTTCCGATCTCACGCGAAACCATTTTACTAGCGTCAAAGGACAAATTCTGTTTTATTGAAGAAAAATTTTTACCTTGATTAATTGAAAGAATTTGATTATATGTACCACCATTGATTGAATGTTCCATATAAGTTTCAATAGGCAATTTATAACAAGCAATATTTTTATCTTGACATACTCCAAATGTCATATTCTAAAATCAAATATGTGAGTAAATAAAAAATATTTTATATGAATCGTATAAAATAAATAATTACTTTTCTAACACTTTCATCAACAAGACCACCAATTACATGTATATTTTGTTCATTGATTTCTGTCAATTGTTTTTCAGCATTTGGACTTAAATAAATTAAATGTTCTGTTGGATAAGATTCATGAATAGATTTATCATTACGAATTATCTATACAGTTGTTTGTTATTTTAATTACATAACAAAAACAAAAAATTTTTTTTTTTTATTACTTGAAAATTATCAAAACCTTTGTTGACTCGACGACATTCTTGTGCTAGTAGACTATCATTTGACCAATTGGTTAATATAAGTTGAACAGGTTTTATTGATCGACGATTCGAACTATAACATCGTCCAATTTGTCGAGCAAGGCTAGCTAGTTCCTATTCATAAAAAACAAATTAATTATTATTATTTGTTGATTATCTTTATAGGAATGTGATGAATTTTAACCTTAGTCGACATTGATTCATTATAAGCACAATCAATACAAATAATAGGTGCTATTGATTCTCGATTAATTTCTGCTAAACGTTCATTAGCAGCACGTTTAAATATTTTTCCAGTAACTGGTATACCTTGGTTGGTTAAAACTATTTGAGGCAAAAACAAAAATAAATTGTAGAAAATGAATTATTGAAAAAACAAAAAAACCTTCACTGTCAGTAGAATTGGATGGTAACAATATTGATGAAGGATCATTAGAAGATATACGTTTCTTTTTCTTTTTATGAGCTTGTTTACGTTGTTGTAGAATACGTTCATAGCGTAAACGTTTTTTAGCACTTCGTGGTAATCGTTTTGGCTTCGTAGATTCGTTTTCAACATTAGGAACAAGAGTAGTAGATTCGGATGACATATTTTGATTTCAAAAATCTAAAAGAAGCTAATTGTCATTAACAGATGAAATATAATTTGGGATATCGATTGAAAAATGGATTTGATTGATGAAACAAACAACAATCATATTCATTCGTTTGGATTAGATATTGTCCCATGAAATTTTTATCGAAAAGATGTCACTCATATCAAGACTTCACTTTTGTGTATTTTCCACGGGTAAATTAAGCAGTTCGATGATCCACTGACTGCCATTGATCGTATTCCATTTGAAATTGATTGCATACTGTTTTTTTCAACATTTATTTATTTCCATTGTAAGAACGTCTAATTTAGTTTAATTCCGTTTTCTTTTGGTTGACTGAAAGTTTTGAGATCAGCATCTAGACAACATATGTCCTACACAACAGTAATGCTCCTTATTGAATACCTTCTACTATAGATTTTTCACATTGTGTAACGAGCAAGACAGTACTAAAAATCGAGAGTCTTCCAGTAGACTTTTTCTAAGTCTGAAAATGGAGGAGTTTCGAAAACATCAGTATATCTCTCATTATTGATAGAAGCTTCACAAAAAACTCATGAGGGTGTGGTGTAGTGTGATTCTTTTTTTATTTCACATCCACAATTACACCCCACAATTTCATTTATTTTCAATAAATAAATTGCTTTTTACTCTACTGTATAGAAAATATCAAAGTGTCGACGTTCACTGAAGGCTACTCGACCTTACTGTAATCTATCGAAAACCACTACGATCTTAAATGAAGGAAGTAAGCGCGAATCCTAAGTATGTACGTCATATTCGGTGTTTGTCTATTACCAGGTCAACGATAAAAAGGAAAGGAACAACCGTCAAAAGTCAGATTTAGCAACTAGGATTCGCTTTTTCCTTCTAGACTTTATATATCGATGACGAACTCATTGTGCAATTAAGATCTAATTTTCTAGTCGCTCCTGTTGCTGTAAGTTTATCTTTTTAGTTTTGTTTTACAAAAAAATTCTCGTTTAAAAAGGCTTCAGAAATATTTTATAAAACTCATATATGATTAGCATTAAAACAAGTTGAAACAAAATATCTAGAACAATATGGAATTAAAACACTTGATCCAAAGTAAAACATTTTTATTTCTATTATTAATTCTGAATATCTTCATTTTTAAAAAAGTCATTATAATTATATTGGTGATTGTATACATGATGATGATTCATATGATTATAAACGAGCTCGAGATTTTAATTATCATAATGGTCCTGAATGGTTATAGTTAACTGGTTATTATATTCGTGCTAAACTTTATTGGTCAAAACAACAAAATGTTCCTTTGATTTTTAAACAAACAATAAAACATATTCGACAAATAATTTCATCACATATTGAATTGATTGGAAAGGTTTATCTGAATTAACAAATACTAATGGACAACCATGTCTATATTCATGTTATGTACAAGCTTGGTCTTCTGCAACACTTTTAGAAGCATTATATGATCTTGCACAACTTTAAACTTATAAACCGACATGTCATTTAGTATTTTTCTTTTTATTTATTTAATAAATCTCTA